AGTCTATTGATAATGGTGTCTTATCACTTTAAGTGAATTATTGATGCCCTACTTCCATTTGTGTCCCTTCACCCTCCCCACTTTTTTATTTTTAAAATTTTTATTTATTTATTTATTTATGGCTGTGTTGGGTCTTCGTTTCTGTGTGTGGGCTTTCTCTAGTTGTGGCAAGCGGGGGCCACTCTTCATCGCAGTGTGCGGGCCTCTCACTATCGCGGCCTCTGTTGTTGCGGAGCACAGGCTCCAGACACACAGGCTCAGTAATTGTGGCTCACGGGCCCAATTGCTCTGCAGCATGTGGGATCCTCCCAGACCAGGGCTCGAACCCGTGTCCCCTGCATTGGCAGGCAGATTCTCAACCACTGCGCCACCAGGGAAGCCCCCCACCCTCCCCACTTTTAAAATATTTTTGTCCCTAGTATTTCCTCTACCTGTACTAAGTACCACACAGGCGTTACATTTTTTGTTTCAGCCGTCAGATACGATTTAAGAAGCTTATGCGGAGAAGGTTAATCTGTTATATTTACCCTTAGTATTAGTCATTCTCTGTTCCTTCCATTTTGATGTTCCATTTCTTCTGTTACGTTCTTTCTGTTTAGAGAGCTTCCTCTAGTCATTCTATAAGGGCTGGTCTGCTAGCAACAAAATCTTGTAGTTTTCCTTTGATAACATCTTTATTTTTCCTTGATTTATGAAGGAAAGTTCTGCTGGATACAGAATTTGTGGTTGACAGTTCTTTTCTTTTAGCACTTTATCACTTCCTCTGGCACCATGGTTTTAGAAAAGAAACTTATTGTTCCCCTTTAGGTAATGTGTCATTTCTCTGAGGTTTTTGTCTTTAATTTTTAGCAGTTTCATTATGATGTGGTTTGGTGTGGCTTACTTTGGTTTTATTGTTTGAAGTTTGCACATCTTCTTAAACTTGTAGATTTATGTTTTTATTAAATTTGAGAGTTTTTAGTCATTATCTCTTAGAATACTTTTAAGTCTGCATTCTCTTTCTGAACTCTGATGATATGAATCTTAGATCTTCTGTTATAGTCCCACAGGTTTCTCAAGCTCTGTTCATTTTTGTTTTTCAGTTTTCTTTTTATTGTTCCTATTGAGTAAATTCTCTTGATGTGTTCTCAAATTCAATCATTTTATCTTTGGTTATCATTATTATTGTGCCCTTCCACTTCTTTCCTTGGGTTTTCTGTTTTTTCAGTTTTCAAGAGAATTTGTAATTACTTTTCATAGCAGCTCTATGATAGCTGCTCTAAAATTTCTGTCAGATAATTTCAACATCTGAATCATCTCTGTGTTGTTGTCTGTTGGTAGTCTTTTCTCACTTAAGTTGTGATTTTCCTGGTCTTTGGTATGACCAGTGATTTTCAGTTGTGCCCTGGATAGTTTGAATATTCTGTTAGGAGATCCATGACCTTCTAAAAACCTCAATAGCAGGCAGCCAATTTAGGTTTAGCATGTGGGTTCTGTTGGTCCTCCCAGGCTCAGCTGGCACCCTCTCTGTGGGGAGACCAGGCCCAGTGCTGCCAGCCACTGGGAGGTGTGGGAAATCAGAACTTTGGTTGCATGCCTCGCCACCCTGGGTCTATTCCTGGTGGCTTCAGGGCTGTCTCGCACTTAGTGTGGCATGTGTGGGAGATAAAAATGGGAGAATTGTTTTTATCACATTATGGGTATGATGCTGAAAGACGTATTAAGATGTCAACTGCTGTTCTTCTCTTCATAATGAGAATAGACTTATCTTCAATTTTGATCCAAATCCTTGTGCTGTGTCTAGGACCATATAGATTTATCTATTAAACAGTCTTTATCTGATTTGATAGTTGGCCCATATAACTCTGTATTCCTCTCCTTTGTCATATCATCGGCTATGCAATTTTATCTTGAAAAAAGTCAATTTTAAGTATGTGCCACACATGAATATATTATTCTCCTTGTAATAAATACTTAAATTCCGGTTAAGACTAGATTTTCCTTTGACCACTACCTTTAATTCCAGTCCCTTCCGTGTAAGTAAACACACTTGTAAGTTGGGTGTGTATCCTTGTAGGCATGTCTATAGACATTACATATAAAAATTATGCCAGTAGAAGTTTTATGGTATTACTTTGCATGTGTGTTTTAAATTTTTTTCTAATAAAATATATCCTATTATTATAATGTATCTTATTATTTAATTAAAATGTATCATATATATTTTTCTACTTTTTTCTCACTCAACAGTATTTCTTATATACCTTTCCACTTTAGCACACATGTATGTTTTTTCTTTTAAACTGTAGCATAGACTTCTGTGAAATGGATAATAACCATTTACCATTGCTTTTGCTGTTACAAACAGTGGCATAATGAATATCTATTTGAATGCTGCTTTAAGCAGATAGGGCTGATCCCAAGAAACAGAATTGCTGGGTCACAGGGACATGAATGTTTTAAATTTTAAAAGATGATGCCAGTTTGTCTTCCCAGAGAGCTGTACCAATTTGTATTCCCACCAGTTGTACATGCAAGTATCTGTTTCTTATCCCCTTCACCAACCCTGATGTTAGTAAACTTAAAATTTTTTTTTTGTCAACTTGGATAAAGACATGCTATCTCATTTTTTAATGTTTCCTGGTTACTGGTGAGATAGAGTATCTTTTCCTATGTTTTTGTTCTTTGGTTGTTGTTGGGGAATATTATACGTTTTACTTACACTGATATATTGTGCTGTATCAGTTAAGATATGGGAAGCGTCACAATGTTGACATCACCTTACTTGTCTTATTTTGATATCTTTTGTGCTTTCTGAATGTTTAACTATTTGCTAATAAGGATCCCAGCAGCTAAAAAGTTCCTTGTTTACTCTTCATTATATTTACATAATGAGCTTTCCATTTTTTGAGATAGTTGCCAAGATTCTGGCATGGCACTCCTAGCAGGCATGATTATTTTCCAGGATTCAGTGTGTTGAACCAGCTGGATGGTTTGTTTGTCATCTTATGATGACCTTCATATGGACTGTGCAAAATAACGTTCATTTCACTTTGTGAAAAGCATGGCTGCTAAAACAGGCATCCTTTAGGTAGACTTCAGAACATCAAAATGATTAATAAAGTGAAACTTTTTTAAAGGTCTTGGATACTGTGGTCAAAATTTCTATGGCTGGATGATGATGGAGTGTTTTTGTTTTAAAGGAATAGATTTCTTATCCACTGATTCCCTGGGTAAATCTGTAAACTCTAATCAAATTGTTCTGTAACTGCAAATGTGTTTAAAAGGGAGAAGAAAAAGAGGAAGTTAAATCTTAATTTAGGAATTTTCTTTCATCTGATAGTTTGGTAACATTTAGTTCCATAGTATTGACAGTCATATCTGAGCAGTTAATGTTTAACCAGTGCCTTCCTTTTTTCTGTATAATGTAGCTCTAATCTCTTGCTTTGCATTGACATTATGAAAGAGAGAAAGAGTAAAATTAGGAAATGAAAGCCCTGTTAGAAAATTCAGTAATTTTTATTATGCATGCATATTTGTTTTTTTTATTTTAAAAATATTTGAATATTTTGTTCGTCAGTGTGTTGAAACTTCACATAGTTTTGATTTACCAGCTGGGAACAAAGCTGGGTCAACACAATTTATATGTGTAATTAAGACATAACACCTTACTTAAGTTTTTGTTTTTGTTTTTTTAACATCTTTATTGGAGTATAATTGCTTTACAATGTTGTGTTAGTTTCTGCTGTATAACAAAGTGAATCAGCTTTGTACATATATCCCCATGTCCCCTCCCTTTTGCGTCTCCCTCCCACCCTCCTTATCCCACCCCTCTAGGTGGTCACAAAGCACCCAGCTGATCTCCCTGTGCGATGCAGCTGCTTCCCACTAGCTATCTGTTTTACATTTGGTAGTGTATACATGTCAGTGCTACTCTCATTTCGTCCCAGCTTACCCTTTCCCCTTCCCGTGTCCTCAACTGCATTCTCTGTGTCTGCGTCTTTATTCCTGTCCTGCCTTTAGACACTATAAAACTCTTAGAGGAAAACATAGGCAGAACACTCTGTGACATAAATCACAGCAAGATCCTTTTTGACCCACCTCCTGGGGAAATGGAAATAAAAATAAAAATAAACAAATGGGACCTAATGAAACTTAAAAGCTTTTGCGTAGCAAAGGAAACCATAAACAAGACCAAAAGAAAACCCTCAGAATGGGAGAAAATATTTGCAAACAAGCAACTGACAAAGGATTAATCTCCAAAATATACAAGCAGCTCATGCAGCTCAATATCAAAAAACCAAACAACCCAATCCAAAAATGGGCAGAAGACCTAAATAGACATTTCTCCAAAGAAGATACACAGATTGCCAACGAACACATGAAAGGATGCTCAACATCACTAGTCATTAGAGAAATGCAAATCAAAACTACAATGAGGTGTCACCTCACACCAGTCAGAATGGCCATCATCAGAAAATCTACAAACAATAAATGCTGGAGAGGATGTGGAGAAAAGGGAACCCTCTTGCACTGTTGGTGGATGTAAATTGATACAGCCGCTATGGAGAACAGTATGGAGGTTCCTTAAAAAACTAAAAACAGAACTACCATATAACCCAGCAATCCCACTTCTGGGCATATACCCTGAGAAAACCATAATTCAAAGAGTCATGTACCAAAATGTTCACTGCGCACTATTTACAATAGCCAGGACATGGAAGCAACCTTACTTAAGGTTTTAAATAGGTACTTTTTTATAAATACTGTGTAAGTATAAATGCCACTACTGAATTTCCTCATGTTCTTTTTGGATATTAGTTACGTGTTTTATGCAGAACTCTTCGTCAACTTCCTTCAGCTTCTAAATCTTCGTTATATTTCAGTACTATATTTTTAAGTCAGTTTGTGAGGCGTTATAGCTGAAGAGAAAACAGAAGCTGATTTGACATTACAAAGCAAATGATACTGATTTTAGAAAGACATGAAAATATGTTTAAAAGAATATACATTTTTTCCAGTTCATCCAGAGCAGCTTCCTCCGAGGCCATGGATTACATTAAAAGAACGAGACCAAATTCTGCCATCAGGTAAATAGTTTTTCTTATTCTCCCTTGACTTTTTTCGGATATACTTGAAATGCCATTTGGGCTTTGTGATAAAATTGACAGACCTTCATTTTACCTCCCCTGAGTAGATGCGTTTAAAAATACTGATCAATAGACTTAAAAGTCTACCCTAAGGCTTATGTACAGGGATCTCATACCTTTCACAATGATGCAGCTCTTGGTTTTAAAATTAGTTCTTGTAATAGAGCTTTCCAAGTGGCATCTTCACATAGGGTTTGGTGATTTAAGAAAAATGAGTAGTAATGAATTTTCTTCTGAAAAATTTTAAACTACTTAGATACTTTATCTTTCTTGAGTGGGTAAGCTGATAATGCTTTGTAAAAGGATAATTTAGACTGAGTTCTATTTACTGTATTGGAAACAAAATATGATACCAGGCCAAGGGTATAGAAATGATATAGGGTGAAGATTTGAGCAGTTTAATTATATGATTTAGCATTTCTAGAACTGCAGTAATGTAGGAAATATAAACCTTTATCTTTTGGTGCAGACCAATGATGATTTGACATTTATAGGGCTTCTTACTGCTCATTAGACATTTTATGATTGGGAATTCTGCTTAAAATAAGTTGTTACAAATTAATATTCTTCTTAATCACAAGTGATAGTTTTCATGATACCTAATTTTGTTTTAAAAATGAAAATTTTACTGTTTTAATATGAAGGTAAACCAATCACTGAATACTGATACTTAATTTTAAAGAGTAAACCACAGAATTTATTATGTACTTTTACAACAATATAAAGCCCGTCTTTTTTTTTTTTTTTTTTAATTTAAGGTAAGAAGTGGAAGGATTCAGAAAAAATCATTTGCTTAGGTATCGGGAGATGTGCGAAGTGTAATGTGTTCATGGTTCTATTTATATTTTAATAACACTGAGAAATATTATCATATTAGTACATTTCTGTATCTTCTAGAGGTAATAATTTTAAAACCACCACACTCTGGAGCCATAGTATCAGACTGTTCTAAGAGGTACTGTATCAGTGTTATCAAGAATAACACTTCTGTTATCAGGATTCACATTGATGGTCTGAGTAAAACGAATACCTCAGTTTTTCTACAAAGCCTTAAGTTAGGCAGATTTATTTTGTGTTTAGCCTTCCTTAATGTGTAATTAATTGTTCCCTTTCTGGTATTAAAATGATATTAAAAACACCATTTTCTAGTTCTTCAAAGTAATCCCTTTCTGAGCACGAGTTAACATAATCTTGAAGAAGATCTTTCCTAATATCACATACCTTCATTTCCATTAAGAAGAAGAACAACAGAAACAAGTTTTCATTAGTTGTTGAATTCTCAAGTAATGTGTTCTTGGGTTTTCCTTTTTGAAAAACCACTATGGATTTTTCTTGGGATGTCTGACTTCCGTGAGTAGAATCAGTGCTACAAAAAAACAAAACAAAGATATTAAAAATGCCTTTCTGATGCATAGGGAGATGTGTATGATAACTAACAATGGTTAAGGGTGATTTATAGCCACAAAACTATAATGGTAATTAAACTATGTAAGAATTAATCCCAGATAGTGAAAAGAGGTACCAGTACACAAAATGGCCACCAGTCAGATTTCCAGGGGACCGTTGAACTAAGTTTCTCTTAATACCTTTCCCATCATCTGACTTTGAATCAACTTCAATCAAGTGTTACTTCATTCTTGGATTCCTCACCTTTTATTAAGTACTTGATTCTCAACTGTGTCTGCCCATTGTAATCACCTGGGAAGCTGTTTAAAAATATTAATACCCAAATCCTAATATACTAACTTAATTAGTCTGGAGTAGGGCGCTGAGCATCAGCATTTTTTAAAAAAAGTTCTACAAACTGATTCTAATGGACAGCCAGGATAGAGAATTAATGATAAAAATCAGGGCTTTTCAAACTGGTGTGCATGTGCGTATGAATCACCTGGGGAGTTTGTTAAATTGCAGGTTCCAATTCATTAAGTCTTTGTGAAGGCAGAAATTCTTCAGTACTGAGTTCCTAGGTGATAACTGATGCTGCTGGTACTTAGAGCACATTTTTGAGTAGCAGGGATACAAGCTGCGTTTTCCTATTAGTTTGCTTGTAGTCCTTATATAGGCATTTTAAAATGAGAATTTAGTTTTAGAAATGAACATTTGATTTGGTAAAAAAGGATTCTCTTATGACTGAACTTTGTTAGTCCATATTCTTCTGGCTTAGAGCAGTGAGAGCATTAAGAGGCCCAAAAAAGTATTAAGTATGGATATTTTGTTAATACAAGTTAATGAAATTAGAGCCTTTTAACGAGAAAAATTAAAATTTACTTTTATTCCATTTATAAAGTCTTGCTCAGTAAATTATGTGCAAAAAAATGGCATTCTGATTTAAAAGTCGAATTTTTATTAAAATATTCTAAAAAATCACAAATATGAAGTATTAGTCTAATTCTGGTAAAAGGACTTTGATGTGATGGATTCCAGTGAAGTTTTATAGGTATAGTTTAATGGAATCTTGCCCAAGGCATTTCATGATGATGATATTTGGGGTATGTTTGTGTGGCATGTGTGCTTGTGTAGGTGTATATGTGATATTGCTTTAGAAAACATTGCCTAATTTTCTCCCTTTTGTCTGTTGTTTTTTTCTCCCACTTCTTAGCATCATTCACGGTTATGTGTTACAATGTGTTATGTGATAAATACGCCACCCGGCAGCTATATGGCTATTGCCCATCCTGGGCATTAAACTGGGAATACAGGAAAAAGGGAATTATGGAAGAAATTGTTAACTGTGACGCAGATATCATTAGTCTTCAGGTAACACTATAGAAATTAAATTGTCTTTAACTTAAAGGTGAACCTAAAAATTATAGAAGATCTTACTTTTGGGAGAGTTCCTGTGTTCGAAGGAGAACCCAAAGCAATTATTTTCTCTCCTCTTAAAAAAAGACAATTTTAATAAGCACCTCAGATATTTCTACAACTTGTAGAGAAGTTGGAAATTTTGAAAAAATATAAAGAATAATGGAGGGGGCTTCCCTGGTGGCGCAGTGGTTGAGAGTCCGCCTGCTGATGCAGGGGACACGGGTTCGTGCCCCGGTCCGGGAGATCCCACATGCCGCCGAGCGGCTGCGTCCATGAGCCATGGCCACTGAGCCTGCGCGTCCGGAGCCTGTGCTCCACAACGGGAGAGGCCACAACAGTGAGAGGCCCGCGTACCGCAAAAAAAAAAAAAGAATAATGGAGGAAAACACCTAATCCCATATCCCAAATACAGTTGCTGGGTTAAAACTTCTGAAGTATTTCTTGTACACTTTAAAAAAAATTCACTTGCCTATTTATTTACAGATATGTACAGATATGTTTTCAAAATAGAGATCACACCATTGATGTATTTTGTACCTTGTTTATTGCACTTAATGCACTACCCATGTTACTAAAATTCCTCAAAGCCAATTATATGAATATATATTAATTGATTTAGCATTTTCCCTACTGTTGGACATTCAGGCTGTTTATGTTTTCACTGTTACAAAATCATGTTGTTATGAGCATTAGCATACATAAATCATTATCTTCACACTTGATTATTTCATTTGGAAAGATTTGTTAAAAATATGTTATGGGTCTAACTTAATAATTACTACTTTAACACAGACCATTGGATTATTGGTATTCAGGTACCTAAAATTTCCTTAAGTAGAATTTTTTGTTGGTAGATCTTAAGCTTTTCACTCTAGCGTATCATTTCTTTCTACCACAGTTGAGAAATTTGAAATAATTTTTAAAATTACCTCTTTATAATATAAAATTTGCTGTTCCATACCACCGAATCTATAATATGACCAACTTTCAATTGTTCATTTACCAGTTGAGGAAGTGAAGTATAATGGAATGAATTCTAAATTGGGAGTCAAGAGACTTGGGAACAACTACCTGTGTGAGCATGAGAAAATCACGTTATTTTCTGGTTCTCTTAGGTTTTAAAAAGCTGCCATTGTCAAATGGTGGCTGCTATCAATAAGGTAGGGTACTTAGATAATATTTTTTAAGTGAAGTATTTTAACTTGGTCACACCTTACTCACAATGCTGCACGTTTTTATATCTTAGTTTTCCTCTGTCATGTCAATGATTATGTTTCTTTGTCATCTCAGGAAGTGGAAACAGAGCAATACTTCACTCTCTTTCTGCCAGCATTGAAGGAGCGTGGATATGATGGATTTTTTTCTCCAAAGTCACGTGCCAAAATCATGTCTGAGCAGGAGAGAAAGCATGTGGATGGTTGTGCAATATTCTTCAAAACAGAAAAGTGAGTTAAGGAAATGAAGCATAATAGTGTACTTATTTCTTTAATTCCCACACATTTGAAATTGTCTTTGGTTTGACCCTGAAATAGACAGGTAATATAAAAGTTTAAAACTACTGGTAATGTTTTATTTCTTAGGCTGTGTATTGAAAATAAGAATGTTTACTGTATTATTCTTTATGCTTCTTTTGCCAAATTACATTAAAAATATTAAAGAGTATATACTTGAATATGATACTGTATTTATATATTTTCATGAAGTAAAATATTAGTTTTTGTGTAAAAAAGAAAGATTTTTTTTGCTAGTTGACCTTTTTCAGAATCGTTCATTTTATGAACTTTTCATCTTTTTAAATTAACATTCTATATGTTTACTTAGTCATTCATTCACTAAATGTTTACTGAGCATTTGCTTTGTGACAAATGCTGTGCTAGTCACAATAGTCTCAAAGACATACAGTTTCTATCCCACTCAGAGCTCTAGTAGGAAAATCACAATCTAATATGGTATATATGAGGTGGAGATATGCAAGGATAGATAAGGGAGGACACGCACAGAGCTTATGGAGGTAGGGAGTTAAAGGATTGACTGAGACAGGACAATGGAAAGCGGTCATGACCTGCAATGGAAAACAGAAAACATGACCTTTGTCTTTTCAGGGCTGTAATATAGTTGATGAAAATACAGTCAAAGATAAGATGATGACTGCTTATTAAAATACATGAACAATCTTGTAGAGACCTCCGTGCTTTTAGTATTCTTGAGTTTAAAATGGAAAAGATTATCTGTTCAGAGTTAGTGACAAGAATTAAAGGAGATAATGAATGGATAGGTACTTCATAAACCATTAAGTGTCCTGGAAATATTTATATTATTGTCATATTTCTCTGTTTCTGTAATCCTTTGCAATATTAGTATTTCTCTCTTACTGGGTTTATGATGTTGTATGCATTGGATTTAGGAACTGCATTTCCTACTTGAGGGTGCAGAGCCATAAGACACTTAGAAGGCTATCTCTCCCTTTTTTTTTTTTTTTTGGTTTGGAATTGTGAAGAGTTTATTTTATGACTGTTTATTTCATTCTTTTATTTATCTATTTATTTTTATTGAAGTAGAGTTAAAGTGAGTCAGTTATACATACATACATTCTTTTTTATATTCTTTTTCATTATGGTTTATCACAAGATATTGAATATAGTTCTCTGTGCTGTACAGTAGGACCTTGTTTATCCATTCTATATATATAACAGTTTGCATCTACTAACCCCAAACTCCAAATCCATCTCTCCCCCACTGCCCCTCCCCCTTTCCGTTCCCCCTGGGCAACCACAAGTCTGTTCTCTATGTCTGTAAGTCTATTTCTGTTCATAGATAGGTTCATTTGTGTCATATTTTAGATTCCACATATAAGTGATATCGTATGGTATTTGTCTTTCTCTTTTTGACTTACTTCACTTAGTATGATAACCTTTAAGTCCATCCATGTTGCTGCAAATGGCATTATTTCATAGAAGGCTATCTCTTGAACGCTGGCTGAGTGACTAGATGGTTAGAGGCAGATTCCTTTGGTTATCATCCTGAGGAAAAGAGAGAAGTATATTTTTGCCTCATAAAGGCTGCCAGTTTTACAGTGGAAAATTTGAAGGAACCTCCAGTAGAAGACTGAAATATATGGATTCTCATAGAGATTGTATCCTGTAGTTAATAACTTAGGTTTGATACATTAGATAGGGAATCATCTACTAAACGCCTGTGACTATTTTCCTGTTTGGTGCCTATTATAACAAATCATTTCAATGTTTTTATTGATACAAGCCTATTTATTACCAGCATGGCATGTTATTTTAAGTAAATGAATTAAGTGAATTTGAAAGATATTTGAGCCCCTTCTTCTCACTTATTTGTACCTACTTTCATATCTTTTCTGTGACTTTTTAATAGAGATTTTTCACTTGTTTAATAATTAGTACAGGGCCCTGAAGTATTTGAGGTCAGGATATGCTAAATTCTTCTAGTGGGTTGCTGATTTTTTTTTTTTAACAAATTTTAGAATAACAATAGCTATTACTTTCATAGTGTTTACATGTCCCCCGTTTTCTTTTATTTATACTGATTATCTTATTTAATTTTTAAAGCAATCCTCAGAGGTAGGAATAGAGCTATTTCCTCATTTTTAGAGATGAGGAAACCAAGACATAGAGATTATCTGGCTTCACAGTCAATGCTTTTAACCACTGTACTAAATTGCATCTTTAGATTTCTTTTCTTTTTAATATTTATTACTTTTTTTCATTGAAGTATAGTTGGTTTACAATGTTGTGTTAGTTTCAGGTGTGCAGCAAAGTGATTCCGTTTTACATATATATATATTTTCCCAGATTCTTATATAGGTTATTACAAAATATTGAGTGTAGCTCCCTGTGCTATACAGTATGTCCTTGTTGTTTATCTTTAGACTTATTGTTTCAGCTTCCGACATCACTTGTACCTATTAAAAGGTTACCTCATTTGGGAAATACTGCCTTGAATTTGATATTTGTTACCAGTATTCACGCACAAATTTCCTTGAAACACCATAATTAAAAAAAGAATTACTGATAACATTGAGACATGTAACATCAATCTGTTTTTCCATTTGCCGTCGTTTCTTTCTGAAAGATGATAATACCTAAAATTTTTTTCATTCCCTTTACAGTTTTGAGAGGAAAGTCTAAAATGCCTTGATAATTTACTAGAGGTAACTAAGATTTTGAACTAACAATTGTCTAGGAAACTTTAAACAACCAAGTATTTGAAAACTGATACTTGAATTATTAAAAATGCTGTAAATTAGTTAAGAGATAAATACATAGGAAATACTTCGATGCATCATTTGCATTTCTTTCCTTCTTCAACTTTTTGCCTAAATAGTAACATGGATCCAGCAACAGATGAAGACCTTGAGTGTGATATGTTGTTAAATTCCACCTGTTTTGAACAGTGCCAAATAACTTGCTGATGTCATGTTATCTGTCCAATGCCAAACTATTTGGAATTTAACACAAAGTACACTATGCTGCATTTCTTCTACTCCTTCTTCAGATTGGAGAAATGATGCAGTGCAAAGAAAAGACTGTTTGGAAGCCAGGTGGTTCTCCTGCTTATGCAGCTGTATAATCTTGAATGAATTACTTACCCTTTCTGGGCTTATTTTCTCATTTGTACATATTTGTGTATTACCTTGTAAGAGAATTTATATGATTTACAAGACTCACAGTTAAAAGATAGCTGTAGAAGAGTGCTTCAATTCTCTGTACTCATTCTCAAGGTCTTAATCTTCTAAAACCAGAGTATCAGATAATTTCTCATCTTCAGTGATGAAATTTTTTTCCCTTCATGGAAAACAGTGGTACAGAATGGGTAACAATAAATGGAAACTATAATAATCACTATTTTTAGCAAAATATTATAATAAAAATCTCTTATCCATCATGATGGAAGGATAGTATATTGCTTAGTAATGGCTGGGACACAGACCATTATTCAGAGAATTAGAATACATTATATTTTATATTGTTTTTTTGTTTTTGTTTTTGCGGTACGCGGGCCTCTCACTGTTGTGGCCTCTCCCGTTGCGGAGCACAGGCTCCGGACGCGCAGGCTCAGCGGCCATGGCTCACGGGACCAGCCGCTCCGCGGCATGTGGGATCTTCCCGGACCGGGGCACGAACCCATGTCCCCTGCATCGGCAGGCGGACTCTCGACCACTGCACCATCAGGGAAGCCCAACCCCTATATTTTATATTGTATACATTATACTTTATATTGTATACATTCTAGTTTAACCTTTGGGGATTCAGAAGGCACTTCAAGATTTGGTAGCACCTTTTGGTCATTATGAACATCATTTTTTGGGTAATTAGGTGCATAAAGATACCAGAAAATAGAAATTTGGGTTGATAAGATGCCAGAAATCACCTTTTCTTTGTCCTTTATCTTAATAAGTGTTTTCTTCAGTGCAAAATATTTTATAAAACAGACATATACATATAGGTCTGTATTTTGTGTGTGTGTGTAAGAAGAGACTGTTACTATAGATAAGTTTTTTAGAGTCAGAAAGTTTCTCTTTCCCATGTTTTGTTCTATAGACTAAACAGTTAGTAGAAATGGAGTCTTGGAGCCCGATACGCAATTTGAAGAAATCCAAAATGTTGAAAAATGGAGCTGAAACCAGATCTAGACTTACTTGGTTTTCCTGAGGTTAGCAATTCTGATCTGATCATGCTTTGTTTCAAATCAGTGAGAAAGGGAAAGATGAAAACAGCAGTTGTAGAACAGTGTGACCATTACACTGTGAAGAGGCAGGTCTCTTCCAATAGGACTGGGAACTAGGTTGTCATGGTGCTTAGTCCTTACTGTATTGCCTCTGCTGTTTGTCTCAGAGGTACCAGGTAAGGCCAAGTCCTTGTTTTTCCTTCTGTGTTACGACAGGTGGTTTGGTGGTTGAGAAGAGGTCATTCAGAGGTTATAGTTTTGTCCCAAAATGACCTATTGTGATAATCCTGTCTTACTAGTTTCTCAGTTACTAATTTTTTCTGTCATAGGTGGTGGTTGTGTTTAGAATTTTAAAATCTGAGATTGTGGTTCCTGGTTTCCAGTGTTAACTTTCCCATTAATTTAATCTGAAACATAAAATTATTGCTTTATTCCAGTTTCCTTTACCTTTCCAGTATGGATAATAATAACTCTTCTGCCTAATTTCAGAGGTTTCTTATGGGGCTAAAATGATCAAGAATGTGAAAGTGCTTTTAGTGGTTAAAAGAGTTGTACAAATATAGGTAGGATGGTGAATATCCTCTTTTCTTCCCTATTTATCTCACTCTCTAAGCTTATCTTTTCTAGCAAATTGTTTTCTGGCACTCCCATGATTACTTGAAAGGACCTAAGAACACATTTTATAGCATCTTATGCTGAATATACAATAAAAACTTCTGTTTGGTTTAGGTTTAAGAGTGAGTTTAAT